AGACTACTGTCCAACTCTAAGGAGCAAGACGGGAAAGGCACGTCCACGCTGTCCCAAGAGGACGTGCAAAGCAAGTTGAAAGAGTACAAAGATCGGGTGTCGCGGTTGAGGAATCTGATGGGATCGAGCGACGCGAAGATGGAGTTGAGAAAGTCGATCGGCGACCTGGTCACGGACGTGATATCTTTAATGTTGAAGATACAGAATACTCTGGAAACAATGAGGAAGGAAATCGATCACGAGAACAAGACGGAGTCGTTCACCACCGTGAAAGAGACGTTGAAGTCCCTTTACGATCTCTTGATGAATGCAAACCTGTCCGACGAGTCGATCGATTCGAGACAGATGGAGCGAGGACTGGACAGGGCCAAGAGAGAATCGGTCAAAGAGAGAGGAATCCCTTTCGATTCGAAGAGGGAGAGTAGCCTCTCGAGGAACGAGGGTGTTGAAGAAGGATCCAGAGGGGATCGAAGGATCGAATGGTGGAAGGATGGGAGGGGTAAGAAGAAGCAACCGAGTTTTCTGGAATTGGATAGCGGAGAAGATATCAATTTTTACCAATTCGAGCCGGAAAATTTCTTCGTTAACGAGGATTCGTCCTTAAATATCGATTACGATTACGAAACGAGGGACGACGAATTCGAGGATTCGGAGGAGCAAGTTTCAACAATGGAGTATATCGACGACGTTGGTGCGTGGGACGAAGACGAGGATGATCATTCCTTCTATCACGAGCCCGTCCAATTTTTCAAGAATTCGAGGAACAATCGAATGGACATAGGAGTTCCTGAACTGTGGGAAGTGGAAACGTACGAGATTGGAGGGAACGATAGAACGAAGAAATTCGAGGTGGTGAGGATCGAATCGGACGGCACGATTCGAGATACGAGGAGCAAGTCTTTGGAAAAATTCGAGGGGGCCGTCTCTTTCCCGAAGAATCATCGACCCACGTATACCTCGCCGTCTAACGTCCAACCAGACGAATCCGTCATCCGATCGTTCTTCTCTGGACGAGCACCGCCGATGGATAGCGCGATATATAAGAAAGTTTCCAATTTCCAAGATCCGAGCTTCAAAGGGTCGAGTCCTTGGGTCCTCGGGAACAAGAGATCGAAAAGGGGGAAGACGGATTTGCGCGTAATACTCGATCAGGAGATGATCAAAGAGGACGATGCTAATTCCAAGGATTGCAATTGCAGAGTTATCCGTCGCTCGAAAGCTTGCGATTGCCGATCGAAAAGGGGCGCCATCGAATCGTTGGAATCGCTCGAGGTCGACACGCTCGCACCCCCGAAACAACAACAACAACAACAACAACAACAACTGGTCGCTGCGGGTTTGGACAAGGATATAGTGCGCGCAAATTTGCAAGAGGACGCGGACGTGGAAGTGTTCGCGGACCTCGAGGGCGGGCCCAAAATAGAAAAATCGACGCGAGACGAAGATTCGTCAAAGATCGTGGGAGACGCGGGATCGTCTTCCCGGATCGAATCGAACAACCCTCGAGATCCGCGCCACGATTCCAATATCCCTGTTTTGGAGAGCCGATCGGATCTCCATTTTGAGGTGCCGTCGTTCGCCGATCCACGATCCTCCACGATTTTAAGCGCGAAAGAAGGGGAGGATCGATCGACCGAAAGATCGGTGAGACGCGATGCGAGTAAGTTTCTCCCCTTTCAGGAAGAGAGCACCACGATTAATAACGAGGGATATACTCTTGCCGATCGAGAAAATTCTACAGGTTTTACGGAAGGGAGCGAGGAGGCCGAAGGTCCAACGAAGGAAGAAAGTTGGACAACGATCGAGACGACGACTTTATCGGAAGAGATTGTCATCAAGAAGGAATCCGAAAACGATCACGATAATTACGTTGGTGACGTAAGTTCGAAACGAGGGACGAAACCCGAGCAATTTTTCCTCGGTAAAAAGCCAGCGGAGGTGGCCAAGGTAGGGAGGCCGATCGCTCAAGCTCGGCCGACCGATCTCAATAGTAAAAGTAAGAAACGTGCGTCGAGATTAAACGTCGCAAGACAATCCGAATTGTCGAAGAAAGTGAGAACGTTGCAGGCTTTGAGGGATTTGTTTCGTAAATTGAAGGAATCGCGCGTGTTGCTCCCCATCCCGAGATCGAGATCGATCGACAAAGGGGTGGCGGAATATCGGAGGAATCGTGCTCAACAGGTGAAACAATTGCGGGACAAGTTGCGCGACAAGAGGCAGATGATGTTGAGGAAGTACGAGAGAGGTGTTCGCGAGGCGGTCGACAAGGAGGAGGATGTGGAAAAGAGGAATCTGAGGAGAAGAGAGGCGTGGGAGAGGATCAAGGAGAGCCAGGATTTTCGTGACATGATCGATCGCGAGAAATTAGCCTACATACTGATGTATCAACCGACGAAGTACGATGCGAAGAGGGAAGTCGAGGCTGGCGAGGGGGGGATGTTGGGCGAGGGGGATGACGCACCGGTGACCGAAATTCTGAGGAATAAGAATACTTGGCAGAGGATTTTTAACCCGAAAAATGACAAGAATTTCCGCGATCCCGTAGATCGTTCTTACGATAATTTGGACGAAGATGTCGAACGATTGGAGGATTTAAATGAAAAAAGAGGAGAAGAATCGGATGAAGGGGAAGGCGAGAGGAAAGACAAAGTCTATTTCGCTCTAGTGGAGGATGTAGAGAGGCCACGGATATTCTATTACGAAGGGAATCCAGGGAACGAAGGGAAGAGAATTATGAGGGTAAATAATTATTCTTGTTAAGAGATTTTTTTTTTCTTTCTTTCTTTTTTTTTTTTTTTTCTTCTTCTTCATTTAATTAATTTGCTCGACAGGCATCTTCTCGACGCTCGACGCCCAACCACACGTACAACCGTCTCCTGCAAAATTATCTCGGAAGTATTAAAGTCGTTCGATATTCCGACAAGGAGGAAGAATCGGATCAACTTCCAAAGGGGAAGGAAATATACATGATCGATCCATCCAAATACAAAGGAGGGGATCCTCGTTTGCAGTTGTACAAAAGTTCGAGGATATCGAGGCCCGATTCGCAAATCCCTTCGAAAAAATACAAAATTATTTGGAAGCCTATTATATTCAAACCTTTCAGGATTCGTCAATCGACGCAGCACAAACGCGAGGACAAAAACGGGAGCGAAGAAGAATTAACCGAAAATCTTCTCGACGATTTCATCGACTATCTAGATCCCAAAACTGTCGACGAGCTTCTCAAATCGGGGAACGTCATAGTGGACGATAAAATGGAAAATTTCATGCATTCGATCGTCGAGAAACAAGAACCGGTTACGGGAGAAATCGCGGAAGCCGAAGATGATCGAGAATTCGAGGAAGCCTCCGCGAACGAAGAAAATTCCGATGGGGGAGAATCTTTAAAAGTACTCGATGGACAAGCAGTCGAGCAACAGGATGAAAGTTATCGAAATGTTACGGAAGGGAGAATGCAAATCGAAGGTGGAAATATATCTGAGACGCTGACTTCGAACGAGAATAACGCAAGTAGAGATAACGGGAAGAGAGACTCGAAAAAGATGGAAATAAAACGGGAACGAAGAAACGCCGTTACCGAATCGAGAAGACAAGAAGAAAATTTCGAGCCTCTGCCTCCGTTTTTTCTTCGTAAAGCGAACAATTATTTGTCGCGTTTGAAGCAAAGTTCAAAGGAAATTTCTGACGAGAATCTTCTTCTTAGAATCGAAGGAGATGTGGAAAATGAATCAGATACGAAGAAAAGTAAGGAAGAAGAAAAGGTAAGGGGAAGCTTAAGTTCAGAAAAATTACTCCTTTCTGACAAACACGGAACGGCGTTAACGGCGTTGCCATGGATGGAAAGATCCGGAAGAAGGGTTCAAAGGGAAGCGGTAGAGAATCCAGAGAAGATGGACGAAAATAACAACGTGGAAAAGGTAAGGTTTAAGAACGTGTACGATCTTGCTTTTCGTCATTTTTTAAAATTTGCATAACACTCGAATCTCTCCCCCTTTTCAAGATACAACCATCCGAATTGCAACATCTGGACGAACCTTCGAGCACAAAGATTCCGACATTCGGCGAAATCGATGACGTCGAAAAATCGCTGATTCAGAAGATACCGCTTGAAAAATTCATGCCGAAAGGGAACATCGACAGGAGTAAGAGGAAGAACGTAAGAAAAAGTAAGAAAGAGGATGATGGATTATCGTCCCTTATAGAAAAGAGTCTACCAAAGATAGGGAATGTGGTAATCGACGGATTAAACAAAGCGGAAAATTTCACCGGATCGGTGGAACAGTTAATTAAGAATTTGGACGAGAATTATAATAAGACGATCGCGAGGGGAGATCGAGAAAGGGATTCAACCAGTACCAGATCGATAGATCCCGCTCAAAATGTTTTTCGAAATGCGATAACGAACGTAAGAAAATTTTTCATGTTGCTTAACGGAGTCACGAATATTCTTCGTGGATAACAATTCTTTTCAACCTTATAATAATGTGTTTTATTAATTTTGTATACATTCTATTTTTATAATATTTTTCGTATAATTTTTATATTTTTTGACCTAAATAAAAAGATGTTGTAAAACGTTTGTTTGTAACGAATATCGAATCCCCTTCTCGGATAACGAGTGCAAAATACATTATTGATGCAATGCGCCGTTATTTTTTCTCATTGAGAAACGTTTTTTAACTAAACATATGTATAATGTAACGTGAAACGATATGCATATGTAATTTCGTTGGCATCGACGATTAATTAATCCATGTTCCACATGTAGTAAGATAACATAACATCACAAATTGCAACATTCAATTTTACCTGACACCACAAATTTTGCAACAGAAAAATATCAAAACATATGTATGCAACTTCCAACTTGAATATATCCATCGAGTTCCGAATCGTACAGTTGTCCATCGATCTCGGCGCGGATCATTTCGAGCCAAGAAGGAGTCGATGTTAAACGCGATTCGACCGGTGATCACGAGTTACCATTCGTGACCATCATGTATCGTTCGATTTTTGCGTGTTCCTTGCTTCTTACTCTCGTTTCGTCAACGTGTTCGAAAATCATCGATATCGAGAGCAGCGGGGAAACGAGGAACCCTATCACCGACAGGTAACTCTAACCATCTTTCTAATATCCCCCATCAGAAGAAATATATAAAAGATGAATTGTCACGAAGAATTGTCCGATTCTTAAAAGGAATTCTTAAAAGGAATCTCGATACTCGATGTAACGAACCATACGTATTCCTCGGTCGATCATCATATTTACGAAAGATAATTCAACAAATTTTCTCCAGAATATATTTCAGCACCCCATACTGCTGGATTTACCATTACCCTCATAAATTCTCCCTTATCCCCTGCCATTTATCTAGCTTCCCACCGAGTACATCGGAAACATTCTTTCGATTTTTCAAACGACCTCCACCTTGGACGAATTCCCGATTACGAGTCGGTCAGGTGAATCGCGAAAAAATATGTTGGTCGGCCGAGAGTAACGGTGGCGCAATTGCGAGCGTCAGCGCCGCTTAAATTTCATCTTGCTTGCAAGATTCGATAAGAACTTCGAATTTGTAAGGAATCGGCATAATTCGTGTACGAATCGCGAAATAAAACGAACAACGAATAGCGGAGGAACGAACGCGAGGAATTGTGAGAATGTGGCAGAGCACACCATTCCATAACGTGGGAATCAGATTCCAAATAATTTTGTACGATGTTTTCTAACGAATTAAATTTCTATTTAATTTTGAAAATTTTTTTCGATATTATTTCGAAACAAGAATAATCGATGATGCGTATTACTAAAATTTATATAGAGATTTAAATAGAAATTCAATTACGCATTTGTATAAATATCGCGTACATCGTGTATCTATTCGTTTCGTAATAAATTTGGAATTATTCACTTACCAAGAGATCTGCCTCGAATTCCTGATCCATGATCCCGACTCCTCCTTTCACTCCACCGGAAGTGTTGCACGGAAGATCGCGTTTGACAAAATATTACCCACTATTCACTTTACACATTACGAAATCACGATACGACTCGAATTCACACGTGTTATCTCGACCGCGTCCGAAACTAAACTAAATTTCCTCCTTTCTCCTTCCCCGAGGCAATTTTCTGTTTACATATTTAAGCCTCACGTTTATACAAACGTTTATACACACACGAACGATATACAAAGTTATTCCCCATGTTTTGATCCGTTTTCCAAGAAGAGTTTAGATTCCGCCTCGAGGAACGAAATACCTCGAATTATAGGACAACACGCTGTCTTTGTTAATTTCTTAGAATTTAATGCCTCTGCCGCTTGTGGTGTTTATTATCGAAAACGGCACGAATTTATTCCCTGCTAGTGTTACGTTATGTTTTCTATTATATATTTTAATTATTTAATTATTAANTATATATATATAAATATATATATTTATATAATTTATAATATATAATTTATATATATATATTTATAATATTATGTACCATTAATAAATTTATTGAAATAGAAACAGTGACGAGCGTATTATACATTTAATTTAATTATTAATTTTATTAACATCGTAAAATTTAATTTACATTATATATTATTTTTTTATATAATATAAAATGCACTATGTATATATTTATTCAAAATATATTATTTCAAAATAAATCTAAAATACTCTTTTCATTTATATTCTTGCCATTACATCAGTATAATTATATAATCGTACTATATAAATTATTATTGTATAATTATTGTAAAGAATTAATAAATAAGTAAAAAAAAAAAAATACACACGATATAATCGCTAAAAAGGGAAGAAAAGATAAAAATTTTATTATAAATTTTCTTTGTAAAATTGTTTGTAAAATCAAATTTCTTTTCCAGAATTATCTTCTCAAGCCCCCCCTCGATTGATCAGATCAACGATGAATCGGAAAGTTTGGATTCTGATTCGAAACTCGATACGAAAAGAAGCTTAGTAATTTTTGTACCGACGAGCGAAAAGGAAGAAGAAAATGTAGAATGCAAGGGGCAAAAAACAAAACGATGCAAGACATTGTTTCACGGAGAAAGAGTTGGCGCACCGATTCCCAGAGGAAGCCTTCGAACCACGTTGAAGAGCGTAGGAGATCCTTGTAATAATGAAAGACGTCGTGAATATTTTGTTGGTCGAAAACCGAGCATGCATCTACTTTCTTTGAAAAAACCAATGACCATAGAGGAAGCAAAAAATGCAACTTTTCGTGACGAGGCTCTGTTAGATTCTCTTCGAAAACAGTTGCTTCATTATAATTTCAACGTTGGTGCTACTCGCAAAACTGGAACGGAACCAAGGATAAACGTGTATAACGACGATAATTTCGTTTGTTACTGCAGGGAAAAAAATAATCCTTCTTCCGGGAAAGACACGAATCGTGATATTATCTCGAAATTACGAGCATTGGCGAGGAAAGATAAATGGGGGAAAAAACCTGATCGAAAAGATGCACTCGTCGGCAAGAAACAAGACCCACAATCGTCCCAGACGAAAATTCCATCTTTGCCCAACAGATTTCCCGAAACCTATTACCTTCCTAACGAAATGAACCCAGTCCAGAGTCCAACATCTAACAGATTTCCCCATATGTATTATCTCCCCAACAACGCGGATCCGATGATTCCTAGAAAACATGCATCGACCATTCATCGCGTAGATCCTTCGCTTTTAGAGCCAAAAAACACGGTTGAGCAAGCAATTCTACCGAGAAATGATATTCCATTTGATCCAATTGGACTCGATTCGGTCGTTGGGCAAAAAGAGCCGATCAATGTACAACAAGATTTAAATAAAAATCAACAAAGTGTTGAGCAAACAGATGGTCCTTCGAGCATGGTTGGAAATAGTCTGTCTCGAGCTCAAAATATAATTCCTGCAACCGTAAAATTTTCCATGAACGAAGATACATCGAAAAACGACCTCGAAGAAGAGACGAATGATTCCAATTACAATTTGCAATCTATGCCGTCGGAATCTTTTGATAAAAATCATTTGCCACCGCCTGAAATTGTTGGATCTCCCTCCGTTGTCCCCGCTAATGTGCACACTATTGATCCAAATTCGAATGATGGATCATCCACGGGTTTGGGAAACGAATATGGGAATGAATACGAAGTAAAGGGGAATGGAACGTTGGATTATTCCGATGTCAAGGAAGTTACGGCCGCATATTTCACGTCCAGAGCTTATTCCAACGAATCAGAGAACGATGGATCAACCGGTTACGATAATTTACTTATAAATAGTACTGGTTCTATGAGTGATGATCCAAAATATGAAAACGATTATAATTTTAACTCTCGACAAAATAATTCTGTGGAGAAGGCAATAGGATCTGAAAACGTAGACATGAAAATGGATAATTCAAAAAGTTCTGATCGAGGAGACGAAGAGGAAGGTATAGTAGGAGAAAATAATCCAGATTGGAATTCAAGTCAGGATCCAGAGGACAACATGGAAAATCAACAGCGAGAAAATTTGGATTACGAGATACCTTCTTCCGTGGAGGAAAAAATCGCGTTAATTCCTGAAAATACGATGTCCCTGGACGAAGCTGGAACCGTAAAGCTCAATGATAAAGACAAGGAAGAGAGCAAAGGAAGAGATCCGGATGATGACGTTCCATTGCGAAACGAGAATGATCCTTCTTCCTTCGAATCAACGCTGAAATCAGTCAAAAGCGACGGTCTTCCAAAGGATCCATCCGACCAAACATTGCCATTCTGCGACAACACGATGTTGCATAAATCGATAAAAACTGTAATTAATAATTTTGCCACCGGTGACTCCTCTGAAATGGATGGCAACGAGGAAACGGTGGGTTCCGCAAAGAGCGATGATTTATTACCAGAAATTGTCCAAGTTCCAAACTTGAAGAGTATTTTGTCCATGCCGCCAATAGAGCATACAATTCTAGATGAAATAAAGAATCTTTTATCGAAAATGACTGGAATGGATAGAAAGAAATTCGACAGCGACTGGGCAACTAATGTGATTAGGAATAATTTACGGAACACGATATCTGCCGCGCCCAGTTCAAAGACAGAACTTCCTCCACTGGCTGTGGAGGAGCATCAATTCAAGAATGGTAAATGGGTGACGAATATGGTTACATTGGCGCCCTCAAACGAGAAAACCGATGATTCGACGGATATGAAAAGATTGCAAGCTAGTGTTAAAAGTCTTTTGCGTGATCCGGTAGTTGGCTTGCAAACAGGTAAGAATCCTGCTGTTCAAAATATAATTGTTCAAAGCATAAAAAATACCTTGAAGCCAAAAGATCTGATCAATGATGTTTTTAACGATTCGATCATTCGAAGCACTTTGAATGATGAATTGAATATCATGGAAATGGAAGACGAAGAAATTTCGACTACGGAAAATACGTTTAAGTCTACTAATTTCAATTTATCGAATATCGATATGAAAAAATTTTTGGAAATTGCCAAAAATGAAGCAGATTTAAATAATGATGAAAAGGAAAATGAATCTACATTACAACCGTCTGCGTATGAAAAGGATAAAAAAGATATATCAGATCGAAAAAATGATATCTCGTCGACTGTGAAATCTTCGGATAATGATGTAATAGGAGCGAAAAGAAATTTTGAATCCACGGAAGACACTACAATAGCTTATTCAAACGAAGAGACAATTCAGGATACCGTGGAATTTTCAGAATTACCAAGATATAACTCGATGATTGAAACTCGGCCAGATAATGATGCTTCCTCGGGAATTGAAGACAAATCTTCAACTAAAACAATTGAAGATCACGATGTAGGATATAGTTCTCCAAGAATGAATCCAACAGAAAATGTCGTTATTGTGAATAAATGCGAAGATGCGAGTATAGAAAAATCGATGGAAAACGAAAGTTCGGATACGATTTCTGCACAAGATTTTACTTATTTAGGAAAAATCACTGTGAAAAATGAAGGTAATAAGGATGACGTTCAAAGTCTTCGAAATTCTGAGCTATTTTATATCGGTGATGGTGTAAAATTACCGTTGGAGATAAAAAAATTAAACGATGGTTCTTACGCTTTATCGATTTCTAGAAAGATTTGTGAACAGTTATTAAACAAGGAATGTCCTTGTTGCGTACCCATAAAAGGTAACATTGTTCGTACCGTAAAAAGAAATTCAAGCGCGATAAATACTGATAGAACAATTAAAGCGAAGCAAAGAATAAAAATTTCTAAACGCGAATCGATGAAATCAATTTTATCAAACGAGAAATATGATTTAACTGACGACAGTTTACAAATTTTCTTGATGCCTGTAGAAGCTTTCGCGAAGAGATACAACTTATCTCTAAACTTGGAGAAAATGCAAACTCCGTGGAATTTCGACGCAAAGGAAAAGATTGATGAGCAATTGAGAGATCGACTGAAAAATTTTAAAAATAAAGAAGAAAAAAACGCTGATCTTCATAAATTACTTACTATTAGAATTTCAGAAAACAATAAACCGGAAACAACTATTATAAAAGAGGAAAGGATAAACAATCATCCAGACGAGAAAAATGATGTAGCAAGTTATAAATATCGTATAGAAAATCGAAAAAATCTTGAAAAGTATCGACATCAACGGAATATCGAAAAAAACACAAACAAGCGAATGGAAATAGCGACAAAAGTATTGAACTGGTTAAGAGATTTAATTCTAAGTACAAATACAAGATAGATACTTATTACTTGAACAATTTTTTAAATCATACTCTTTTTAATATAATTTAATTGGCTATAGTTTAATACTTTTTTATAATCTACTATGTAATATTTTTTTTTAATTTATCTAATATAGAAATAAAATAAATAAAAAATATTTGAAAGCTTAAAAAGAATTAAACCCTCCCAGCGATTTTAATAATTAATTGTTTTTTTAATAATATCAAAATTTTGGTAATATAAATGTTCTATTGTATCAAATAGATTATTTCTTCTTGTTTTTATATTTTACATATCGTAATCTTTTTCTTTTATTATCGCATAAAGAGATCGATGATTCATACAATAATGACGTAATCTTAATGGTTACCTTGACTAATTTAGAAGATAGTGTGGTTATGTTTGGCAGATACGAATTTCTGTCAACATAGCAAGAAAATGGGCTTGTTTGGCAAATCTCCAGAAAAAAATCCAAAAGAAATGGTTAGAATCGAAATGAATAATAATATCTATTCGATGTTTATACGAAATCGTATTTCAGGTTCAAGAATGGACACATAAATTAAGGAAAGAAGGCTATCAATTGGATAGACAGGTTAGAGGTAAGCTATTAATATTTTATAAGAATATATTATAATGTAATTAATAACATTTATTTACAGCAATTCAGCGAGAAGAAGATAAAATAAAACGTTCTTTGAAAGAAGCAGCGAAGAAAGGTGATAAAGATGTTTGTAAAATTCTAGCAAAAGAAATAATACGTGCACGAAAAACTTGTAACAAACTCTATACATCAAAGGCACATATGAACTCTGTTGCATTACAAATGAAAAATCAATTAGCAACGATTAGAGTTGCTGGTTCAGTTTCAAAATCCACAGAAGTAATGCAAGCAATGCAATCATTAGTAAGAGTTCCAGAAGTAGCAGCGACAATGAGAGAATTATCAAAGGAAATGATGAAAGCTGGTATTATTGAAGAAATGTTAGATGAAACTATGGAATCTGTGGAAGATTCTGAGGAAGTAGAAGATGAAGCAGATGAAGAAATAGACAAAGTAAATTACTATCTACTATATGTAAAAATATAAAAAAATTTATATTAATAAAACATTTCATGTCTATCACAGATTTTATGGGAAGTAACTGCAGGCCAATTGGGTACAGCACCTGCAGTTGTTACAGAAACTCCAGGATCTATTGTAGCATCTACTTCTGCGGAAGAAGAAAGTGAAGAAGTAAATGATAAAGAACTTGAAGAAATGAAAATGAGACTACAAAGTCTTCGTAGTTAGGTGTAATATATAAATAATTTTCATCTGCATTGACTTAAAAATCAACTTGCACTTAATGAACATATAAATATATAAGGTACAAATACAGTGAAATGAATATCTAGCATAACAATATTTAATTGATGCTTTTATAATATTGAATAACCAAAAAGAAATAAGTATTATAAAAAATGAAACAAAAATTTTTATTTTATCTATACAGTTTTTATATCCAGCTTTTATAACCTGTATGTGATTTATAGAATGTCACTATTTCAACTATATATGACTCATAAAAATACAGAGAAGCTGGCTTCTTGATTGTATTATGTTGAAACATATACTTTTTAATTTAATTACAATCAAAATCTTGTATTAATATGTATTATACATAAACAATGGCTTTAATTGTTATTTTTTGTATAATTTCTTATATAAATTATATCTCTTATATATTAATTTCTCATATATTAATATAACAAAAATAATACAAACAGTAGATCACTGGTAGATATCTATACACAAGATTACTATATTCACACATCTTTAAAGTAGCTGAATTCAGACATTTTCAATTTTAATATTTTGATATTAACTTATTCTAAATCACAGAATCAAAGTATTCCATAGGAAATTATGTACTCCAAATTTGATAATTGTGTAGAGCACCCCCTTGGTATATTGTGCAAGTGTACAGACTACCAAGAAATATTAAATAAATTCACATCTTATAATATTGGTACAGAACATTATTTAAAACCTAAAGTAAATGTAGGTAAGTAAAATAAACATTCATTCATTATACAATAAAAATAAATAATATTCTGATTTTAATCATTTATATTAGAACCAATTGCTTCAGCAAAAGTTTTGTGGATAAACAACCGTTTAAAATTAGATGAAGATATTTCAAAACCAATACTTCTTTATCCTCAAGAACAATTAAATATTACTGCTTACAATGTAGACAAAATATGGATGCCTACTGTATCAAATTTAATACCTCTAAAATTTATATTTAAACTTTAAATTTTTGATTCTTATTTTATAATATTTATAATTTATATAATATTTACACATTAAAATATATAAAATAAGTATTAAACTTTGCTCTGAAAAAATATTCAAAAAAAAAAAATAATTGTTATTTTTTTGTATACATAAATTTATAATTTTATTATAGCTAAATTTGTAGCTATCTTATATTTTATATTTTTTCAAAAAATTTTATTGCACAATAATTCTTTTTACATTTTTTTTTTTTTCAACAAAATTTAACCTTGTATGTACATGTATATATACATATTTATTATACATATACATATATACAAATACATATACATATACATATACAAATTACATATTAGAACTATAGTTCATTGCTATTAAAAAATTTGAGATATAAAATTAATTAATTTGAGATATAAAATAATGTTAAAAAAAAATTAAGATATTTGCAAAAAACAGTATAATATTCTGTCATTTAAAAATATATATCTCAACAATAATAAAATCAAATGACATAAAAATAATCAAAGAATTTACTATAGATATTATTTGTACTTTACAATTTTGTTATTTTTTAAACTTATTATTACCTATCTCTCATCATGATATAATAAATATATAATAAAAATAATATATTTTAATTATCATTATTTAAAGGATATATGACCGATCTCTTTCAATATGTAAGTAATGTGCATAAATTTAAAGTATTTATATTTAATCATATATTCTTAAAAATACTATCATTTATTTATATCTTAGCAAATTTACAATTGCTCAATTACCATATTAACAATTGAAAGTTTCATCTGTGCTCTAGCTTTCCTAGGAAGTCTATGCATATAAGGTGCCAATTTGCGCAAAAAACATTTAACTTCATTTCTAATAGGAAAAATTGTTCTTCTCATTGTTCCTGAAATTTTTTTACGTCTCATAGATCTTTTTTGTTTTGGTGCTAAACATTCTACTTCTTCAAAATCTTCATAAAATGTATCTTCTTTCACATTAGCTGCTTCTTCATCTAATACTTCCAATGAATGTGGCAATATAACTTCTTCATGTACTTCTAATTCTTCACTAATTACTTTACCATCTGTTTCTTCTAAAGAAGTTGACAAAAATTCTGCTAAATTTTTATCTGTTTCCTCTTTACTTTGTTTTATAATTGGTATTGTGACTGAAGTTTGACCATTTTTCATCCAAATTTGCTGTCTAAAATCAATTTCATTAGAGGTAGTTGGAGCATGGATCATTTTTGTCCTAGTTTGCTTTTTTATTGTTTTCATTGATTTTTGTTGTTCTTGCTCAGGAAGATCTATTTTAATTAATAAACCTGGAGGGATACTGGATAAACTATGTACTGGAATAGGAGCCCCTAAATTTGATATATCACCAGTAAATGGTAAAATCACTTTTTTTATATTACCTTGAATATTATTTGGTATATTTGATGTAATATGATTTGCTATTGTTATAGGTTGAAGTTGATCTGTAAATTGAATCTTCCAACTGGGAGTAGGAGGAAGTGGTAATTTTCTTATTACTCGATTTTCAATATTATTAGGATCAGGCCTTGGAATGTTAATAAGAGTTGGCCTTTTAGATTTCCCACGTTTCTTTGCAAGAGGAGTAGGCTTATTATCTACCTTTGGTTTTTTACTAGATACTAAAGGTCTTGAAAAATTTTGCCTTTTAATTCCTTTAGTTGTATTAGTACAATTAGATTCTTCTAATATATCTTGATCATCTTCAATTTTTTCTGTTGAATTAATACAATCCAATTGTGATACATCCTTTATAGTTGGAACAGCATCACATGGTCCTACCCTATGAAAACTTTGTCCTGTTTGAAAATGCTTTGAACAAAGTACTAATTTTCTTATTTGATTTGGAGACATTTTCAATATATCTTCTCTACCTAAAAATTGACACCATCTTAAACATCTGCCAATTTCATAAGCAGGAAAAGGATGAAATTTATATCTTTCTATTTTATTTCTTGGATCAGATCTTAATCTCCCACAAGCTGCACATGCTTGACTTTCTAAAACAGCAGGTGGTAAAGGATCTAATTTTTTGGGTTTTTCTGAGGAACTATAATTTGATTCTGGTACAAATTCTATAATATATTGTTCAGATCCATCCAATTGATCAGGATTTCTGATATTGGGAATAGCATTGTCTATTAATCTACTTTTATAACCAGACATAAATTGAGAACGATCAAAATGTTTTGAACAAATGTAACAAAACAAGATTTCTTTTCTTGTCAATCTGTAATATGAATCTACACCAACAAAATCGAGCCATTTGAGACATCGAAATTCTTCACCAGGAAAATGATGAAAAGTTACACCATCATAATCTCTATCTGATGGATCTCGACGAGATCGACCACATAATACGCAGGTTATGTTGTATAAACTTTGTGTAGGATCATAAATTGAAGGTACTGCATTACAGTTTAATCTATCGAGGTATTCATTTAAAAAATCCTTTTGTTCGAAATGTTTAGAACACACCATTCGTTGAAGTAACTGTTTTTTTGTAAGTTTATACAAATCTTCACGACAACAAAAATCCAACCACTTTCTACATCGAGGTATATCATTAACGGGAAATCCAAAAAACATATATTCTTCTTCTTTATTGTTTGGATTCAGACGCGAACGTCCACATACAACACATGGATGTGGCATTTTTTAAATCGTTTTTTTTGCTTATACTTTTGTCAAATAAACAATTCCATCTTGTCACAGCTTCATAAAAATTTTAAATCTCTGCCAGATGTTTTCTAACTATCGCAATTAATATACTTATCAAACGATTTAAAATTAAATTATCTTCTTATAATCTTTTTGTATACGATATAATTTTACAGTATTTAAAGAATAAAATTCAATAATAAGATGCAATAACCCCTTCATTATTTTCCAACCCTACATGTATTTCGAGTAAACGTTTCTTAGAAATAGTATTATTAAAAGTTCAATAACTAAAAGTTTTTCTTTAAGCACATTTTCTTTAATAATAAATATGTAAAAAATTACTTTTTTTATATTACACTTGTTGCGCTTTTCTCAAGCAATTTGAGAGGTTATGCTGTTTGTTACAGCGTCTTTCACCTAACCTTTATATAAAATAATATAACTGATATATAACACGATAATACATTAGCTAACCTGTCACAATCTACTGTCAAAATCTGTTTTTGTTCATAAAAGAAATAGACAAAATGGCAGAAAATTCTAATAATCCATATGATATTAATGGACAACACTTTAATCCTGATATGTATTTTCAAAAATTATTAAAAGTAAGTGCATTTTTCAATTTTCTTTAAGTTTTATATTTATTTAATGATACTTTAATAATAATTTATTTTTTTATATAGGAATGTACATTAAAACAAATTATGGATCATGAAGCAGAAATTATAAAAAATACTCAAATTTTACATTCTGATATGCAAACTCTAGTTTATGAAAATTATAATAAATTTATATCTGCTACAGATACTATCAGGAAGGTAAATTTATTATATATGTTTCTATAAATGCAATTATTTATTTTTAATTTATTAATTATTTAATTTTACATATATATATATTATACTATATATAATACTTATTCATAATTTAGATGAAAACAGATTTTAAAGAAATGGAAGATAGTATGGATTTATTAGCAAAAAATATGGACAGTATTACTACTTTTTCAGAACAGATTTCATCAACATTACAGGGTACAAGACAACAAATTGCCAAATTATCTTCAGTTCATGCATTATTGAAAAAATTACAATTTCTTTTTAAATTGCCTGGCAATTTAAAAGACAAAATGAATGAAGAAAATTATACACAGGTTTATGTTTCATTTCATATCATTATATTATATTTCTTTTGATACATAAATATATTTGATACATAATTATATTTAAATAAGGATGTATACTTAATTTTTGTAGGCAGTACAAGATTACATACATGCACAACGTGTATTAAATCAATATGGCAATATGCCATCTTTTCAAGGAATTCAAAAAGACTGTGAAGATATTCTAGAGGAACTTAAGTCAAGATTGAGAATGCAATTTCATAAAGGAGATGCATCAACTAAAGCTTTAGCTGAAAATATAGATCTATTGTTACAGCTAAAAGAACCAGCTGATTCTTTATGTGCTGAATTT